GGGGGCGGCTGGAACTTTGGGAAGGGGGTTGGAATCCCGGGAGTGGGTTGGAATCCTGAGGGAAGCTGCAGCACCCCTTATTTGTCAGCTGAATTAATGGGATGGTTTGTTGGGTTTGGGGTGATAGAGGGGGGGGTCTGACACCCTGGGGGGGGTCCTGAGACCCTGGGGGGGCTGTGGCACCCCAAAAATCCCCGGGGGGGGCAGCTGGATCTTTGGGAAGGGGGTTGGAATCCCGGGAGTGGGCTGGAATCCTGAGGGAAACCACAGCACCCCTTCGTTGTCACCCGAATTAACAGGATGTTCTGCTGGACTGGGGGTGGCCCTAAAATTTTGGGGGGTCCCTGGATCACAGGGGGGGTTCTGGCACCCCAAAAATCCCCCGGGGGGGCGGCTGGAACTTTGGGAAGGGGGTTGGAATCCTGGGAGTGGGGTGGAATCCCAAGGGAAGGCCGTGAACCCCTTCCAGGGCATCCGCACCCACAGGGTGCTCGGTTGGGCTGAGGGTGACAAGTAGGGGGGTCTGAAGCCCCCCCTGGATTTTGGGGTCTCCCTGGGGTTTGGGGGTGTCCCTCAGGGTCTGAAGGTCCCCTCTGGCTTTTTGGGGTCCCCCCCAGTTAATGAGGCCAGCTGTGTTCCCCCTCCTTTTCCATGGGGTTTTGGTGTAGGCCCTCAAGTTTCCCCCAGGGTTTTGGGGTCTCCCTGGGGTTTTGGGGTCTCCCCAGGGTTTTCGGGTCTCCCCCGGGGTTTTGAGGTCTCCCCCAGGTTTTGGGGGTCCTCCCCTAGGTTTTGGGGTCTCTGCAGGGTTTTGGGGCCTCTCTGGGGTTTTTGGGGTCTCTCCCAGGGTTTTAGGGTCTCCCCCAGGGTTTTGGGGTCTCTCCCAGTGTTTTGGGGTCTCTCTGGAGTTTTAGGGTCTCTCCAGGGTTTTGGGGTCTCCCCCAGGGTTTTAAGGTCTCCCCCAGGGTTTTGAGGTCTCCCCTGAGGTTTTGGGGTCTCCCCTGGATTTTGGGGTCCCCCCTTGCAGCCAATTAAGCCGACCATGACCCCCCCCCAGTGGGGTCCTGGTGTGCACTGGCTGCAAACAGAGACCCCCCGGCTGTGTAGGGCACCCGCCCCCCCCTCCCCCGGCGGGGTGCCCAAAGGGGCCGGGGGCACAAAACCCCCCTGGGGGTGCCCAAGGGGGGTGCCCACCCTCACCCCCTCCCCGTGCCCCCCAGGCTGCAGACGGGGCACAAGGGGGGCCCTGGGGAGGTTTGATGTGTCTGGGTGGGATTTGGGTGCCCTGGGGAGGTCAGGGGTCACTGGGGGGGGGTTGTTTGCCCTGAGGGATTTTGGGGAGCCCTGTGGAGGTT